GACCACTTCAATGTGAAGTTCTCCCTCGAGTCTTTTAATTATTTTTTAATTGGTTGTCCGTCTTTTTCTTAAAAAGCAAAACAAAACAAAAGCCATTCATTTCAAAATCTGTAACTTCAAATATCTTAAGGAGAACCTCATCTATTCTAGAATTCTGTCCAATACTGGTGGCCACTAGTCACATGTGGCTCTTGAAATGCGGCTAGTCCAAATTGGGATGTGCTGTGTCAATGCACACTGGAGTTCAGACTTAGAAAGAAAAATACTTTTAATATATTGGGTCAAATAAAACCTGTTAGAAAAATTAACTTCAGCTGTTCCTTTGATTCATGTGGCTTCTAGAAATTTTAAAATTACACACGTGGCTTGTTATATTTCTATTAGAAAGTGCTGTTTGACAAAATCAGGAAAAGCTTCTCTGAGGAAGCAGCCTGCCCAGACTTATCTGACAGTTTAGTGCTCGGGTTGGTGGCAGATTAATTCTGATGGAAAAGGATTGTCACAAGCATGCTTTAAATATTTAGGTAATAAAAATAAGTACTGAAGTACATGCAAACACATGGAATTTTCAAATGTATTGTGGCTTGATCACAAACTGTATGGTTTTAAATGTAGTTTTCAGTCTTCAGCTTGACATTTACTCATTTCAGAGAAACCCTGTGGTTTTCCGAGTGTGGAAAATGGACGGATTGCCCAATATTACTATACTTTTGAAAGATACTACTTTCCAATGAGCATAAATCAGCATTTGACCTTCTCCTGCTTGGCCGGTCACACAACTAAAACGGGGAGACAAGAGGCTCGCATCGCGTGCACAGCAGCCGGCTGGTACCCAGAACCACGGTGCTTCAGTAAGTCGGTGAAGGGCTCCGCTAGTGTGCGAATGTGCAAACTGATCAGCTTGTAAAAACTGGGTCCAGTGAAATAAGGCAAGTGTTTAAACCTTTGGTAGATAAGAACAAAATCATCAGCCCATAGTCTTCTTTACAAAATGAAAGCATATCCTGAAATTCTGTAAATCAAGTCTTTCATTAAAATGTGATCTTTTCCATCTGTTTTTAATAATACCCTGTGAAAAGGATAAGGATAATTATTGAAATTGTTGTTATCACGTTGCAAGGAACAGCACTGAGTTACTTCAAGGAATGCAAACTTATGCAGATAATTGTGCAAAAGCCAGAAAAATACTTGACATTGGCCTAAGGATGAACAAATTATTATTCTAATGTTGAATCATTCAAAGCCTCACCTCTCCTTGGTATACCAACTGTCTTCTCTTCAAATACCCATTGAAAAATGTTTTTTTCTGAAATTTGAGGTCACACTTGTGAAAAGGAAGCCGATTAGTGCATCTCAATGTTTCACGTCAGTCTGTGCTGGAGTCAGACTGTCAGCTGGCTCTCACTGGGTCCGGTGGCCTCTCTCGATTGAAGGCTTCCCGAAGCCCTGTTTTGCAGAGGAAGGGGCTTTACTTGAGTCTGTTCCATTTAGAAGAGAAAGTGGATATGGTCAGTATGGCGGCTAAAATGTCCAGTAAATGTGTCCATGGGATAATTATCCATTCTATGACCTGAGGACAGACTATGAATGTGAGCATTGCACTTTTAGTGTGAGCATGGACCATAGATTAATGCTAGAAAATAAATCTCACTTATATCTAGAGCATTAGGGTAAATTAAACACCCTAGGTTTATTGACTCTTTTAGATTGGAGGTGAGAGCAGTGAAGTAGGGGCCAAAGCAGGATGAGGCGGGTTTAGCACTGCAGTGTCGTGGTCAAGACACACCCTCTGCGAATGGACTGCTGTCTGTGAATCCCCCTCCACTACTGGGAAGTGGCTGAAACATTCTGAACCAGAGTTTCTCAGCTATAAAATGGGAACCATGCTGCTTCAATGAGATAATCCTTGTAAAGTGCTTGCCACACAGCAAGTATGACATCGATTTAAACAAATGTTAACCTTGGGCAAGTCTCTTTGCCTTTCTGGATTGATTTGTTATGGGGTCCATGAATGAGGCTTAAAAAATGATTGAACTCCATACAACACTAAGGCAAATGTGATATCCAACACATCACTGTTCCAAGTCTTTACTAAAATACTCCGGACTCATATGCTTTGAGTGACATGTCTGTGATTCAGTCACAGTCTACGTGGCCTGACTCTGTCTGAAGTCCTGCCACGCAGGTAGCCCATCAGACGTTGAAAAAAATGAATGAACACAGTTTTCACACTAAGTTGTCTGCAGAATGATTTAAGGATCCACACAGTAGGTGTATGTTCTTTAGTTACATGATGTTAAAAATTATCAAACACAGTGGACTCAAAAGTACCAAGAAAGTAAGTCCAAAAGAAATTCCTGTTATTTGCCATTAATGACAATTAGTTAGAGGAAGAGCTCTGGATATATTTTCTAAAATAGTTGAGGCAGGGGTAGGAATGACTCTGAGAGCTGAAGTTAGTACATACCAAGAATTTCGGTGTCAAATTAAATCCACATTTAAAGAAATTTGAGGCACAACATGCAGGGTATTTCCAAAATTAAACTAAATCAAGAACTTGTGGAGTGAACATTTTTTCCTCTCTCTCCTTAAAATTCCAAGAATAATGTTAAACATTTGAGAAACTTCATCAATTTAGAAAAGAAATTTTTTTTTCTCATAGAAAAATGCCCTAAGCCTGACTTAAGAAATGGCTACATCTTTGATACAAAATTATCTTACAACATTCAAGAGAACATGCGCTACGGTTGTTCGTCAGGATATAAAACCACTGCAGGGCAGGATGAAGAAGTGGTTCAATGCCTCCCTGATGGATGGTCCTCTCAGCCAGCCTGTAGGAAGGAGCATGGTACGTGCTTAAGAGTCATCTCCTAAATCTGTAGATAAGGGCCTGTGGGTTTAGTGCTTTCTTGTATTGGTAGGCATTTTTATTTAATATAATTGTTAATATAATTGTTCTGGATGCAGGAAGTTGTTATATTATTTCTCTCAAATGCTAAGTGTTTCCTTCATCCAGGAATTCCCAACGGCTACCACACCTACTCCAGGAGTTCCTACTTTCTACTGGTAAAAAAGGAGTTGGTGTGGAATAAAAGGAAAGAGTCTTAATGAACATATTTTTTGCAACATACATAATTATTATTTCCTTCATTAGAGAAGAATTCAAAACAATGCACATTATTTTATACTATAAACCAATATCATATAAACTTAAAAATAATCCAATAATTTGTATATATATACACACATATATACAAACATATATATGTATACTTTGTTAACATGTTGTTAGTTATTTAAATTATACAAATCCACAGATGGGACATTATCAAGAAATACTGCAAAAGCCTTCTGTTGAATTATGGCTTTTGGTCAAACACACTGGACTAGAATTGTAAGAACAGAAGACGGCTGGGGTTAGGACACAAGGTGCATGAGGAAAGGGAAGCGAGAAGCAGAGGGAAACTTTGACTGTTTTTCAATGTTGCCAAGAGTTGCTTCTGTCATATATTCTTAAGATTCAGGGAGAACACTTTTTGAGATTTCTTTTTAATTACTCTAGGTTTCGTGATAAAGTTCATAAAACAAATGACTTTAATTTCTTTTTAGAAATGTGCTTGGCCCCTGAATTACATCATGGAAATTATTCCACAACACAGAAAACATTCAGAGTGAAGGACAAAGTACGATATGAATGTGCCCCCGGGTACCACACAGCTTCCGGGAAGAGGACGGAGGAGGTGGAATGTCACTCGTACGGGTGGGCTCTCCCCCCACGATGTGCCAGTAGGTTCTCACTTTGAACACAGCTGCTTTCACTCTGAAACTCCCTCTCGAACAGAAATGGGTACAAGTTGCCTGCTAATTATGTTCCTTTTTTTATACTTTGTTTCTGGTTTTAATGACGTTGACAGTAGGCTTTGATCACTTCAACGTCTCAAATAGGAAAAATTCTTTTTAGCTCAGATAATTTAAAATCAAATAAGCTCAATGTTATTTAATAAATACATCAATTGACAAGCTTTTACTGTGAATAACAAAATATGGCAAATTTGCTGATTTCTAGTTCAGATGTGGCACATAAGTAGGAGGTGGATTTTGTTCCAGCAAAAAATAACACTTCTTTGTATTTTTTATTCTTTCATTTTTAGAATTAAAATGCTCTTCCTTAAGATTAATAGAAAATGGTTATTTTCATCCTGTAAAGCAAACCTATGAAGAAGGAGACGTAGTTCAGTTTTTCTGTCATAAAAATTATTACCTCAGTGGATCTGACCTAATTCAGTGCTATAACTTTGGTTGGTACCCAGAATCTCCTGTCTGTGAAGGTGAGTTTTAAAATTTAATACTCACACAAATAAAATGTCATGTCTGAATCAGCTTTAATTTCTATGAAAAAAAAGTCTCTGATGACATCTAATTCTTGTCCCAAGTGATATTTTTAAAAATAAATACTGCCTTTTAGATCAGTATTATTTTCTGCAATCTTTAATACATTTAATCTGAAGAAATCTTAAGTTTTATATTAGTTTGTAGAGTGGATATATGTTTTAAACATATTTTTAAAAATCTCATTATAAATTTCAAATCTCTTACTATAAAGAAAAACTTTTCTTATTATAATTGATCCAGTTGTCCCCAGTTAGCAGCTATATGAAGGTACTTTCTTATTATTTGGCCACATGTTTTCTTATGTGAAAATACTGTTTTCAAAACAGTGGGGGAAAGAGTAAAAAAAGCAGCAGAATGTTTCCCAGAGTGAAAATGAAAAATGAGGTCATCTAGTAAGAGCTGCCCTAAAGTGGAATGTCTGTGTTATGTTGCTGTCACTGGATGTGTTCAAGCAGGTGGTGTGATCACCCGTTAGGAGACAGCAATGCAGTCTCACGTGATCACACCTGCAGTGCTAAATGACGGAGGTCCTGGTCCAGCAGGGGAAACAGAGAGAACAGAGTAACTGATACAGTGTGACAAGCGGTAGAATAAAGTCAGGTGTAAAGTATTTGAACCAACATTAAAGACTCCGATTGATACTGTACGGGACAGCGTGACAGAGGTGATGGATGGTGTTTGACCTGAGCCTTAAAGGATAAATGAGAGTTTGAGGATTGGGAGGGAAGGGGGAGGTGGAGGGCGTGGTTGCCTCTATTTTCTCTGTAATGTAGAAAATAGTGCCATTTTAACACGCAGGAGAAAGATGGGAAAGTAAAACTTGGAAGACAGTGGTGAGGATCTGAAACAGTTGCTGGAAGGCGTGAAAGAGGGGTGACCAAGAGCACATAATGGGATTGCCCAGAACTGCCGTTATTTCTAAATGCACTGAACGATGACTAATTTTTGTTGTTAAAAATAGTCTTTTTAAAATTTCCAGTGGTCTAATAGTAGAAAGGAAGATTATTAGCAAATTGTCTGTAGCATATTATTTCAAAAATAAATGGCAGACTTACTTCTCACCAATTCCACACTCCCCCAACCCAATTAGTCAGGTGCCAATGTTCCCGTTATGTTTTCTAGTCAATAGTCGTTAGATGCAGACTAGGCAGTGTAGTGGTTCGAATAACGCCTCCTGCCCTCCTGACACACCCCCACCTCCCCAAAGACATCCAAATCCTAACCCCTGGAACCAGCGAGTGTTACCTTATATGGCGAAAGGGACTTTGCAGACGTGGTGAATGTAAGGAATGGCGGTGGGAATAACATCTGGGATGACCTGTGTGGGCCCTAAAGGTAGTCACACGCATCATAAGTATGAGAGAGGAAGAGGGAGATCTAACCAGAGAAGGTCGAGTGTGAGATGTGACTATGGGAGAAGAGGTCGGAGTGGAAGAGCAGAACTGAAAAGCCCAGGCGAGCGGGCAGCCCCCCAGAAGCTTGAAGAGGCAAAGACGCAGCTTCTGTCCTAAAGCCTCCCGAAGGAGTGCAGCTCTCCTGACTCCTCAGTGTCAGCCCAGTGAAACCGATCCTGGACTTTGGCTCCCAGAGCTGTAAGAGAATAGATTTGTGCTATTTTAAGGCACTACTTTGTGGTCATTTGTCACGGCAGCCATGGGAACTTAACATAGTCAGTATTTTAGAACAGATTAGAGCAGGAGATTTTAATTCAGACACGGGTTCAGGAATAGATCCACCACTTACTCATTATTCACTTACTTGGTAAGTTTTAGTTTCTCCGTCTATCAGATGGGAGATGTAATAGTCCCCACTTAGCAGTTATTTTAAGATTAAAGGAGGTAAAGAATGTAGAATGCTTGCTTCTTTTAGTTTTCTATTGGCACATGAACCACACACTCGGCAGCTTAAAAACCACACACTGACGTTCTTTCACAGTTTCCGTGGGGTAGGGTTCCTGGTGTGGCTGAACCAGCTCCGTGTCTGTGTCTAACCAAGCTGCAGTCAGGGTGTCAGGCAGGCCTGCGGTGTCATCTGAGGCTGGCATGGGGGAAGAGTCTGCTTTCAAGTTCACTGAGGCTGCTGGCAGCTTTCAGGGCTTGGCAGGCTGCTGAGCAGAGCCTCGGTCTCTTCCTGGCTGCCCACCGGTGTGCCCCCTGCTCTGTGACCCTCGTCATTTGGAAGCTTATAAGGAGACAGCTTGCTTCCTTTCAAAATCTGCAGGGAGAGGGTCTCTGGGCAAGAATGGCCTTGCAATATTATGTTGCATCAGCACGTGTGTGTTATCACACATCCCGCCCTCCAGGCTGTGTTCACTGGTTAGAAGCAGGTCCTACTTCCTGCTCTTGTTGGGGTGGGGGGGCTTGACTCAAGGAAGTGCAGGTCAGGATGTGGGGATCGAAGGGGTGACCCCAGTCTGTCTGCCACACTTCTTGTGGTCCTTGGCACGACAGACAGCTTACGAAATCTTAGGCTTTGTGCTCTGTAATTATATGACCAAATACCCCGACGCTTTTCCGTAAGGAAGAAGAAGTCGGTGTGCCCCTCCGCCTCTGCCGGCCAACTCCAGCGTTCAAGCGCACGCGGCCACTTACCGCCACGGGGCAGCGGTGCGCGTGTCGTGTGAACTGCACTTCGAGATGCAGGGGCCGGAGGAGATGCGTTGTGAAAATGGAAAGTGGACAGAGCCTCCGAGATGCGTGGGTCAGCAACACCTCAAATCAGCTTTCCCGAAAATGAAATCCGTGGGTGGAGCTAAACGGTCTCCCCTCTTTAACTTGTCCCTGTTCAGAGGCAGGCGAGCGGGAGGCCTGCGGCGAGCCACCCTTCGTTGAGAACGCGGCGGCGCAGCCCTCCTCCGGGCGCTTCCACGGCGGGGATAAGGTGACGTACG